ACTCCTACGATCATCATCATCACCATCATCACCATCATCATCTGGCAATAATAGCAACTCTTTGCCGGCCGTCGCCTCTCCCTTTCCAAGAGAGCATCTTTTCGTGCCCCAGTCGACATGGAAGAACTCAAACTCTCTCTCTTCCTTCTCTCTCTCTCTGGAATGGAGATTAATCAATGGCGACCAAGAAAGAATATAATATCATTCTATGTGATGTAATGTCGTGGTGCACGTCAGCCTAAACGGCGGTGATTTCGGTGATTCCTTGCTTTCTTTTTTGTCGTTGTTAGTCAAAACCGGAGAGAGAGAGAGAAGAAGAAGAAGGGTGACATTCAAATTTCAAAGCAGGACACATGCATGGCTGTAACTCATTTCCTCACGCCAATCAACCATAAAGAAGCTATTATTCTTCCGATTAGTATAGGCTCAATAGAATATTAAGGGCCAAAAGCATGAACTTTGAGATTGCTGTTTAAATTATTTTTATCGAGCCATTTGGGTTCGGAAGTAATGCCCACGAGCGACGGTGTTAAAATACTTTGCTTTGCTTTTTTTCCAATTTCTTTTCTTTAATTTAGTGGCTCTCTATAATGTCCTTTATTTACCCTAGAGCTAGGGCACAACTAGTTTCACCTAACCAGTGTATATAGCCTTATAGGCATGATCTAAAAGTAGCCAAAAACCCACAAACTAACTAGGCATAGTAGCCGTTTGACTTTTGGTGAGCGGACCAATATGTTCTAGGGTTTCTCTTCTAAAGCTTCCAGAGAATTTTTACCTTCTGGGTTTCTTCAGTTTGGGATCTCGACATTGCCATTTTCATTGGATGTAAACATTCTAAAGTTTGGAACCCCATGCAGAGAAACAGTAAAAGGTCCTACAAGCATAAACTATATGCAAGAGTAGGAAAGTAAAATGAATACGCGAAAGGCGGCAATATAGTCCATGTAAATTTTATCTATTCCATGCTGCTGTGGCAAAGTGGCAATATTAGCGTGAAGTGGTCAGTGTTTTAGGTAGCTTTCTCTCTCTCCGCGTGCAGCATATGCACGAGACATGAGTCACATATAATACAGGGAGCGACTTTGGATTTAAAATCTTAAGTAGCACATGTCTGTCTTTGCTCAATCTTCACTAAATCTAATATTCCCTAGCGATTAAAAAGAGAGAAATGGGAATACACGGAGACAGGGTAGGTGCCTTAATCAAGAAAATGCCGGGTGCCAACTTGCCCGGACACTGCTCACATTAAACATTTGTTTTGACGTGAGATTGAATGATCCTCCTCTCACGGAATATAATAGTTAGGATGGACAAAGCAGAGCTAGGAAGTGTTCCCCCAAAACGACAAACACATGGAATATGGAATGTATAGCCCAAGCATTTGACAACATCACAAGCAAGCCACAGCGAGAGAGAGAGAGAGAGAGAGAGAGAGAGAGAGAGAGAGAGAGAGAGAGAGAGAGAGAGAGAGAGAGAGAGAGAGAGAGAGAGAGAGAGAGAGAGAGAGAGAGAGAGAGAGAGAGAATTTATGAGGGGGTAATAGAGAAATGAGAAGAAAACAAAGGGGTATCGCATTTCCCGGAGAATCTAGAGCGCATAAGGCGCTGACCATGGCTTTGAGGAATCATTAGTTTAAGCTCAAATGATTTGAACGTATTCAAGTCTTCTCTTGTTCCTTTCTGCGAGGAAGAAGATAAAATATAAAGGGGGCATTTTCTCTCAAGTAGCTCGAGGGAAGAAGAGTCCACGCCCAAGGGGGCACTTGTTTAATCCTGAATTAAGCGCAATAAAAAATGGGAGATAAGTTGGAGGGTTTGTCAAATTGGTTGAGACTTGACACTAATCAAAATCATGGTACAAAGAAAAAACAAGGAGATCACGAGTTCGAATTTCGTGGATTTCTTTTCGAGCTATCTAACAATTTTTCCCTAGAGATATCGTGTTGGGAGTAATAGAGAGATTGTCGTGATTCGGTGATATTCGTAGAACAATGTATGTGATCTAGGCACATAGTTAATACAAAAAAAAAATTAGGTTAAGAGGGGAAATACATGCGGAAATACAACAACATGGGATTAAACAAATGGAACAAGGTGGAAGAGAAGCAAGAGAGAGGAGAACAAATAGGAGTCAAAAAAAAAAACCGAGAATAAACACCGAGGAATTACAACATATTCTGGTTGCGCAAAAAATATTTCCCACTAGCAGTTCTATACATAATTTAGTTTGGGAAAGTGGACATTTATAATTCTCAAATCAATGACAAATGGAGCAGTTTACGTTAAAACATCTTTATATTAAACGGTGTACACTCCATTTTCCCATTAACATATTACTACCACATTAGTTTAGACGTATAGCTGCCACACGAGTCACACGACCCCCCGCACGTCGGTGCCCAGGGATATGGGGAAGTGGGGGCGGCGCGTGGGTCTCCACGCGCCGGGTGGGGCTCGACGGGGATGATTGAGGATGGTGGTGGGGCCGGGGGAGCCTAGGGAATATATATATGGACACGGAGAGGGAATATTGGGCGGTGAGATCTCATGAAGACAATGCGCTAGACGTTGAAATTGTATATTGTTTCTTCATGTTGGAGTGACCACTAGTGCTACAGTTCCTTTTTCCAACGAGCCATCATTCATTGCTCACGCGCTATCGATCGTCGCTGCAAAAGTCCTTGCCTGGTCCTCGATTCATCCATTTGTGTTTGGTTGTTTGACCTGATTGGCATGGAAATTGTTTGGAGGGATGAATGCGTTTTTGAGAGAGGTGGTTTGGAGGTCGCTAGTTCTTTCAGTACTCGTCGGGGGCAACTTCGCGTGACTTGTGTGCCCCACACGAATGCCTCTTCGAGGTGGTTGCCGCCTCGTCCCCATTGACGGTGGCGGCAACTAGGGAAAGGGGGGATGTGGAAGCCGGCGTGGGTGCAGGGTAAAGAGGAAAGAGAGAGAGAGAGAGACGAGCTCTACTGTCGAGCGAGTTAGGGTGACGGGGGGCTGCGGTGGCTAGTGCGAGCTAGACGAGTGCGGAGCGACACGAGTTGCAAATCAGTTAGCGGCGGTGCGCGAAGGCCAAGACGGTGTCTAGGGGCGACACAATCGAGGAGAGAGACAAAGAGGAGTGGAGAGACCGGGATAGGGGAACTTAGCGTTTTTATTGGTTTGGTATTTGTTGGACAAGTGACGCTAATCTGATCATCGATAAGATAGTAACAGGTTAATTGATACAGGATACGAAAACATTAACCCACGCCCAATCGAGGAGGCCTATTAGGCCACTATTGCACGAAAAAGAGTTAGGAGACTTATAGGTGGGTATATATGATCTGAATAATCAAGTTAATCAATGCACAATTTTTTTGTACCACCTAGAAAGGATTACTGTATCGGGCAAAAGTAGTCTCTTTTAAGATTGTTCTAACAGGAATCCGAGTGTATCAAGAGTACCGCTCATCTTCGAAAACACACTAGCAATGAATGTCGGACGTACAATTTGCAATACAAAGAAATAGCAGACACACACTCTCTCATTAATTCTTCACAATCTTAGCTGTGACCATGTCACAACTCCACTGCCAAAATTCACATAGCTCCCACCTACTATAGAAGTCCTATCCCCGTGACATTGATGTCAAAATCATCCGTATGTTATGTACTCATTCAAAAGGGATTTTCAGCTTGATGAGGAAGATCTTCCTGGACCTTAAAAGCACGCAGTCACAAGTGTCAAGCATACGAAACGAATGCGATGATTGAAAGCATGTAATAATGGATGTGATGTACGCACTTGATTTGAAAAAGATTGATTATGGTTCCAGCATGAACCTCTTAAGAACCCATGACAGACATCTAGAGACCAGTTTGTAATTGTATGAATGAGATTTCAAACATAGGCACAGTGCAAAATAAGAAATACGTTGCATTTCTTTCTTTAGTTTATTGTTCACGAGAGCTCAGCTCGTTCGAGACTAAGTCCGACATTTGCGCTGGGGCTGCGCACGTGTCCAGCTCGGTAGATGCACGAGACCGACCCCGTATGGACTAGTTTTGTGAGTGAAGAAAGCATGGACAACATAGACATTGACTAGTCATGGCAATTAGTCAAACTGGTGGCCACCCAAAAATCATTGCTCGAGATAAAAACTCCCTAGGCATCTAGTCTAGCCTATAATTATTGGAAAAAAAAAATATTCCACTCGATAAAAGAAAAGTTCGTGTAACAAAATTCTTGTCCGGGGTTCAAACCTTATTTCATGGTATTTACATGAGATTCCTCTTTCTTATTCTTAAACAAGATCCCGAGTGGGCTTAATTGATCCATGATTTGCCCTAAATATTGTAAGCATTTCTCACATCACCGGCCATTTCACGAACTCAAATGGTACCCATCTTCATTTTCCCGAACAAAATATGGTTATGCTTTGTTTTGTGGATTGAAGTCGTACCTTAGTAGCCTTTAGTTTTCCGGTAGAAAGAATTAAATGCGTCTTCCATGGACATTCCGCATCTTTTGAAAGCAAAGCTAGGTCAAAAGCGGTATCAAAGTACGAACGAACGTCGAGAGAAGCAATCCATGTCCACGAGACGAAAAAACGATCGGTTGCCTAATCAAATTCCATTCTCCCAAAACGCCTAGCTCGTCAAAGGTGAGTTTGGACACCACATTGATGGAGATGCGCATCGCGCATGGTCACATCTGCTTGGGGAAAAAGCCAATAATAAAGGACAATTCAGATACAGGGATATTTCTAGGCCTGCTAGTCAATCCTCGTTCATGAAATGAAAATGGGAATATTCCAAGCTCATTAAATGACATAATTGAAAATGATAAATTCAAATGGAACCGGAAAGAGAAAAGCTTTTCTTTTTTTTTTAACGGGAATTTTTCTTCTATTTTCCAAGGGAGGTGTCACTGTCCATCAATGTAAGAAGAGAGGGACTGAATTCCTTTCCATATATTCCATTCAACAGCAACACCCCCCACACTTTTCTCTTGCTATCATCCCAACCATTCCCATCAAGAAACCACCATTTATCACATCCCTGCCTCACACCTCTTACTTATTTATTCTTTCTTTATTGATTTCTTCTTCTGAATATGCCTTTAAAGATAAGGAAGTAGTACCTCCTCTCTCTGTCTCTCTCTGTCTCTCTCTCTCTCTGAGGCCTCTGCACTCACTGCATCGATCCTTAAATATGCTTTCGTTCTCTTTTCACTAGGTTTTGCCTTCAAAAGAGCTTCATCCCAGAAAAAGAACTTTTGTTACTTTCTCTTTCTTCTCTCTGCAGTCATTCATTTTCTTCAATTTTCTTTTTAATCCCCCCACCGGGTGCTCTCGAATCTGTCTCTATTTCTTGCACTGATCTCTATTCAACCTAGAGAGAGATCCTACCAAAAAGCCTATGTTGTTCCATCCTCCTCCCCCTCCTCCTCAGCCTCTCTTCTTTTTAAACACACCCATGCAAATCATAAAGCACTCATGATCTAATCACAACCTCTATCATTCCATTGTCAGCCTTTTATATCTCCTGTTGACACACTCTCTACTCTCTCTCTTTCTCACTTTCTTTACTCACCAATTTCTAGTTTTTCTTTGATTCTCCTATTTCGCTGTTAGGACTCTCTATTATCACTGAGCCCTCGTCACATTTTCCCTTCAAAATCCATAAATCTCATTCCCATGTTTTCTGGATCAAGACCCCCGATGACAACCCCACCAACTTTCCCTGATCTTTCCTTGCAAATTAATCCTCCAGATGTTCCAGATTCCGGGAAGATGGTTGCAATTTATGGTTACGACGATTTCACAAGGAAACCATTATGTAGTGAAATGAGCTCCACCACTGACTCCGGTAGCAGCGGGAGTGATTTGAGCCATGAGAACAATTTCTTGTCACAAGAGAGGAGTTTTAATCATGGTCATGGTGAGCCCACATTGAGCTTAGGGTTTGCAATGGGCGATGTCAGCCATTCAACCTTGCAACCACCACCAAGAAACCTCAATCACCACCACCACCACCACCATCCTCATATATACGGCCGTGAGTTCAAGCGGAGTGCTCGAGTCGCGAGCAGCATAAAGAGAAGTATCAGAGCGCCCAGAATGAGATGGACCACGACTCTACACGCCCATTTTGTTCATGCAGTCCAGCTTCTAGGCGGTCATGAAAGTAAATCCACGCACATATGATGAATATGCTTTCAGATCACATTCCGTTTGGTCATTTCTTGACTTAGCCAAAAGAACAAAAAAAAAAAAAGGAATACTTTTCTTTTGCTTGTGTACTCCACTTGTTTTGACTCAGAAAAGGGTCATCAGAAATGGGTTGTGTAGAAATTTATCTAATTGAATGTAATTTTACAGGAGCAACCCCAAAATCTGTATTGGAGTTGATGAACGTGAAGGATCTAACCCTAGCCCACGTGAAGAGTCACTTGCAGGTGGGTGTTTGCTCTTTGCATTTTTCTTCTTGTTTTTTTTTTTTTTTTGAGAATTAGTTTCTCCCATAGAGCCTCTTGATCTCATGAATTGAGAATGACATTTATGGTTTCTATAAATTTTTTGCTTTGTCTTTTGTTGTATTCCATGATGTTGTGCATTTGTGGTGGGCACTGGATTACAAGAAGTAAGGACAAAGGGGCATCTATAGTGCTCTCTCTCTCTAGCTATAGAGCATTCATCTTAGCATTGTGGACTTTAATTTCTCTCATTTATTAATTTCTTTTCTGTTGTGGGTTTTGATTTTCCATGCAGATGTATAGAACAGTGAAGAGCACTGACAAAGGATCGCCAGGTAATTGTGGATTAATTCTCCTCTAGTCCAGATCATCATATTTATTCATCCACCTTAATTACTTCTCACGTTTCCTCTGAGAGAGCTGCAAATGAAGGAAAGAGAGGAAAAAACTCAAAGAAAAGATCAAAAAAGAAATGGGTTTTGAGACTTGGGCTGACTCGTACATGTGAAAGATTCACTTGCTAAAGAGAGGTTTTTTGACTCTTTGCGTGATGAAATGTTTCAGGTCAAGTGCAAAAACTAGACATTAGTACAAAACATGTAGATGCAGGATCATTATCGTCTGAGAAACATGAAGACTGCAACAACTCTCACTCTCTCAAGCCATCATCCCAAGCAAGTTTCGAACAAACACAAGGGTTAGTTTGCCTTTTCATCTGAAATTTCAGCGCCTTTGATGAAAATAAAATAAAACAAATAAAGAAGAAGAAGAAGAAGATCCACACACAATGACATAAATGTGCCTCCTGGTAATGGGTAACGTAATTGTGTCGTGTGCAAGAGATGGTGCTTGTTTTGTTGTTGGTAGTGTAAATTATCGGATCGAAAAGCTCGAACAGTTGCATTGAGTTCGATGAACACAAAAAGTGCCTTAGTTCTCTAGATAAGGCCATCTTTTTACGTGCTTGGCCTTTTTTATGATAAGCTCAGCATATTATAGATTAAAAACCAACATTAAGGTTCCAATACATGCTTTAAAGTCAAGGGTTTTTGTTCAAATCTCGTAGTCACTGAAATCCAACGGGCGTTAGCAAGCTGACAAGGGGTTTAATTACTCCATGTGTTTCTAAGTAAGTTGAAATCTCTCACTTTTAGAAATTTATGTTTCTTCTTAGACCTAAGACCGCACATACGAACCATGAAAGTCGTACCAGGTTAGGCTATTGTCATCTTCTTCCATGCGTGACTCGTATTGCTTAACCTCACTCAGATGAATTTGTATCAATACAGTAACTTTAAACATTAAAAAGAATTCTTCTATGCCGGTGTTTTTATCACTTTCGAGTGTACCCGGTTCATTCTTGGTGACCAATTAATCGTACATGTCTCATCCACCAAACCCAGGTCGAGGAATTTCTTGCTTCCCTCCCTGGAACCAAATAAATAACCAAATATCAGTTGCAAATAGATTCATTACATAGCTAAATCATAGAGATTTCTTTAACTCTTGGACCTTTGTGCAAGCAGAGGTTTATTGTGGTTGCAATCAATGGAGACGAGAGGAACAAATGAATCGGATCATGAAAATGCTTTGACATATGATTCCCACTTCAAAGCAGATGACACCAAGGTAAGTGCAAAAGAATCAAAGGAGTACCAAACAATGTCTGGTCCAAAAAAGATACTATCTGGTGTCCATTATTTTAGTTCTTCTCTGTTGTTTGCTCTCATTTGGTGTCAATTATTTTTATATAGGTGGACGGACAAAAGATTGTCGATCGACATATGTCTGAAGATGTGAAGGAGAGGTTGGACTCGAGCTCCTTGTCACCACCTTCGGGGGATGCATTGGTCAATCTGGAGTTCACTCTCGGAAGGCCGAGTTGGCAAATGGACTCCACCGAATCTTCGCACGAGTTCACCCTACTCAAGTGTTGATCCATCAGTCAATCAAATTGGTTTACCTGCCTTAATTATGAGGAAATGGACGAATGAATTATTTGAGCCTGCTATATTTTCGCGCATCCGCCCAATTGCTCGGTGATTTCCTTGCAATTTTTGTCTCGATTGATGGGGAAAGGAGAAGGGGTAGGCATGACTCAATGTCACGGACGCTCGCTAGTTTACAAGAAACAGCATAAACCGAATTTTCAAGCCACCATTGTTTTTTCTTTATCTTTTGCCTAGTATGTCAAATAACATATGGCTTTGTACGAAGGGGATTTGTATGAATAATTTGCCGTTGCGACGAAGATTCGAACCATGGTCCATGGTCCATGATTGGTCCCACTGAAAATTATCTAGCCATGTCGTGAAGGGTGGCGTCTAGGGGTGGAGCAATTTGGTGTTGTTTTCAATCTTTTTCAATTTTCGCACCCCAAGGTCTTCAACACGTTGCTCGAGCCCACCTCCCTCGTCCTGGCCTTTGCAATAATTTTGGGTTGCTCGTTCCTAGCGACGTATTTCTAGTTTTTTTTTTTTTGATAACCGAAGTGTCCGCACGACCGGCGAGCTAGGGCTCAAACTAGCGGTGATGCCCGACTAGTCCTCGAGGGGGGCTAGCGCAGCATCCCACCGCTACGACCCCCCACTTAAATCACCGATGGGCGAGTTTGAACCCAAGACCTCTCGTGAAAGGAACTGAACGCAAACCAACGCGGCCACTGATGGGTGGGTCCCGTATTTCTAGTTTTTTTTTTTTTGATAATCGAGGTGTCCGCGCGGCCGGCGAGTTAGGGCTCAAACCAGTGGTGATGCCCGACTAGTCCTCGAGGGAGGCTAGCGCAACATCCCACCGCCACGACCCCCCACTTAAATCACCGATGGGCGAGTTTTGAACCCAGGACCTCTCGTGAAAGGAACTGAGCGCAAACCAACGCGGCCACCGATGGGTGGGTCCGTATTTCTAGTTTTATGTGCACTAAAGTAAAAAATTGAAAAAAGGGAAAGAAATTGGGTTTTAAACTAATATAATTGACGTATGGGGTAATTACGGTTCCAAGAGGACCATATGATATATAATGCGACGGTCCCTCCGAATTAACCAAAATGACCTCGTAAGGGGCCGCGATCTCATTGAGCATAAAGAAGTACGTATGACCTTAGAAATTTTTGGGCTTTTACCTTCCACATATTGAAATTATAAGATAGGAAGAATGAATAGTCTATGCGCGGATAAGTATTGTCTAATATTTTGTATGCATATAATAATAGATTAAAATAGGGGAAAAGCCACAAAAAACCCTAAACTATGTCCACCGTGACATATTTACCATAAACTTTTTTGTGATACTAAAAATCTAAAACTTGTATCTGTGTGATATATTTATCCTCTATCAAAGTTCTCTCAATGAAAGCCGTTAAAAATCTGCTTACATAGATGCTTAAAAGTAAACGGTATTGATATGACGCCCTTGTAACTTAAGTAAAATAAAAACAACGTTATGTTGGCTGAAAAAATCATCTAATAAAAATCTAAAACTTGTATCTGTGTGATATATTTATCCACTGTCAAAGTTCTCTCAATAAAAACCGTTAAAAATCTGCTTACATAGACGCTTGAAAGTAAACGGTATTGATATGACGCCCTTGTAACTTAAGTAAAATAAAAACAACGTTATGTTGACTGAAAAAATCATCTAATAAAACCTTGATGGAGGAAGATAAATGTGTCACATAGGTACAAGTTTTGAGATTTTTTATGTCACATGAAAAGTTTAGGGTAAATATATTACAGTTATCTATTTTGGAGTTTTTGGTGTCATGAAAAAAATTCAGGATAAATGTGTCATAGTAGCCATAATTTGAATTTTTTTTTATCTTATTAAAATACTATCAACTTGAAATGATGTCCATGGAGTTATGGTATCGAGACCAACCCTAGGGAGGCCACTCCCATCAAGATACCCAAAATCGGAGGAGGTTGCCTATGGCAGGCCACCTCAAATTGCATATATCTGTGTGTGTTGGAGGAGAGAGAGAGAGTTTCTCAACTCTTTAAGAAAATAAACTAAAGTTATAAAATAACTTCCTAACTTTAGAAAATCACGATCTATTATAATAGTTATATTCGATATTTCTTTTGTCATAAATTACTTTCGACCAAAAAAGAGATTACTTTCTAACACTTTACACGTTAGAAGAAGACGGCTGCACACTTGGCAATTCCAAGTCAAATGTTGGAGACTTTTAGCCTACATACCAACTAAGTATTGATTGCCCAATCACCTTCTTTAGAAGTTTAAACTAATTTTTTGTTTTTGGTCGAGGCAAGTTTAAGCTTTTAAGGGGATAAGAATAATATGAGTGCATAATTTTAGTACGACACTCACTTGAGTGCCATAACTTTTTCTTTCGCTTACTTAAGTGCCATGTCGAGGTAAAATCGATCATTTAAGTACCACTTCTGGCAAATCACCAGATGCAGATTTTTTTTTATTTTTTTTAAAGTTGATTTTTATTTTTTTTTATTTTCCTTTATTTTTCTTTGTTTTTTTTTTCTATGTGTTGGCCGCAAAGGCCTCTCCCTCGGCCGGCAAGGCCATGAGGCCATCGCCGATTGCGGGCGACGCTGCCTTGCCTTGGGCTGGCGAGGGTAAGAAGGCCCGCTAGATTTGGGCGAGGCCGGAGGTGGTTTTCAGGTGAGGCAAATTGTCAATGACACTTAAGTGATTAGTTTTCAAATTTGTGGCACTTAAGTGATCGATTTTTTAAATTTGTAGCACCTAAGTGAGCTAAAAAAATTACAAAAATTGTCTACGTCGAAGCCGGAGGTGCCACGTCGGATTTTTTAGTAAGGCAAGTTGCCAATGGCACTTAAGTGATCGATTTTTCAAATTTGTGGTACTTAAATAAGCAAAAAAAAAAAAGTTACGATCCTTGAGTGAGTGCAATTCGAAAGGTGTGACACTCTCGCTGTTGTTATCCCAACAATTAAGGAACAATGCATAGTATATATTTACGTCCTAACACTATTAGATAACCATTTGTCACAAAGATGGAAGTATGACATTCAGGCTACAATTAAGAAGGCCCCAATGAGAAGACTGAGTCTCCGAATGAGCTACCTCTCCATGCCAACTATGTTAAAACTCTGTAACCTACAATGTAAAATGAAGGTACAATAAATGACTTCATATAGACATAGCATGGGTCTCCATGTGCTGCCATGCTGGCCAACCTCGGAGCTTACTAACTTGGAGTGTAGTTTTAACTTTGAAAGTAGGTGTGATGTAGGTGCAATTTAAGCAAAAATCGAGGGGTTAGTGTTATGACACATCGACAATCCACTTTGGGCTATATTTTTCTCCGTTCTCGAATGAAGGGAACTGTCTCCAACCTTGCTTCTCATTAATGAGTTACATATAATGCCATCATCCACGTATATATTTAACATAAAATAGATGTAAATGATGCCTATGTTTATAAATAACTTATAAAATCTTAAATATTAAATATGTTTTTATCTAACAGCTTAAACTTTTAGAATAGACGGTAGTGGTCTCACAAAATCTCACATGGTATTAGAGCCTAAGTTATCAATAAGTTTTGATCCAATGGTCACTCGGAGAGGGTTGTTGCTACTTCAACCCTAAGCCTCATGTGTGAGGGGGAGATTGTTGGGATTTATCCTGTATCAGTTGTGAAAAGGGCTGGTGGTCAGTTTATAAGTGCGAAGGAAATTCTCATCCTTTAAGCTAACTTTTGGGGTAAAAGAGGCTCAAGACCACCCAACACTGGTATCAGAACCCAAGTTATCAATAAGTTTGGACTTAACAGTCACTCGAAGAGAGTCCGGACCCAATAGTCACTCAGAGAGGGTTGTTGCTGCTTCGACCCAAGCTTGATGTACAAGGGAAAATTGTTAGGGTTTATTCTACATCGGTTATGAAATGGGTTGGTAGTTAGTTTATAATTGTAAGAGAAAGTTTCATCCTTTGAACAAGATTTTGTGTTGGACTTCCTAATATAATATCATTAATGAAAAAATCAGAAATACTTAACTCATTCACGCCGTACAAGTTAGATGTCATCGGTGCCATAAAAGAGGAGAATGTCTTTCTTCAGCTGTATCCCGTCAAGGTATTAAACAAAAATTGCGATTTCCATCTACTCATCAGTAAACAGATTGACTCGATTCCTCAACGACATCAAGGGAGTACATCAAGAAACGTAAAACGTCGCACTAAAACTTATCTTTTTGCCCTTTCAGAGGGTGGGGGAGCAATCAGCACGAGACGGCCTCTCCAGTATCATCATTGCGGTTTTGTCCGAAGTGGAGGGGAAAGTGGGTTCTCTCACGCAGGATTACACGATGTACATGCACGAAAGCTGAAGAGACTACAATTCAGAGTTTTTGGGGGTGTCCCAATGGAGGACACACATTTTCTTGCTCCCCCATCATGACTTCTTTATCATGTTATTCCGTGAGAAAAGATTCTCGACAAGAACCAAAAATACGTACCTTTATCTTTTGGGTTTCTAAAAATCCTCCACACAAGGTTTGGTCCACTTTTCCAATTCGAACTTTGGAGTTTCTTTCTTCATGTTGTTCAGGTCATCGTTCTCCTCATTTGAGATTGGGCCCTCTAGAGTTAGGTAAAATTATTTCTTAAAATTTGAACGCGTCAAAAATAAGAAAATTCAACGGTTCAAATTAGTTATCTTTATTTTTTCCATTTTTTCTTTCCTTTTTTCCCCTCTTCCTCCTTCCCAATTTTCTCCCTTTGCTAGTATGCACAGTACCATCACCCACATTGCATTGTGCATGACCAACCCCGACCACGCCCAACCAAGCCTCTGCTGCCCCGTTGACCCCTGCCAGTGCCTCATGATGAGGTCGACACGGCCATCAGCCCGTCCTTGAGCCCCCATTGCCGTCTGTGTGTGTGGCCTTAGGCCTCTCTCTCTCTCTCTTTGCCACTGTGTGTTGGGTAGGCTTGGGCTCATGACCTGGATCAGAAGTCACTAAACCTAGTCTAGACATCATTGCTCAAACTTGGTGGTCCCAACCCACTAAGCCCTGTTCTCTCTCCTTAGGACAGAGGACAGGACAGGTTCAGCCTTACTGGCGTCGTTCGAGGCCGGTGGCAATGCCAGGTGATCATGATCTTGGTTGTCAAGAGGTTGTGACCACCGGGCCCTACATGAGAGAGAG